TGCACGGGCACTTGGCCCGCTTGAAGAGCGTGAAGGAGATCTTGTGGCTGGGATGGGCGGCGAGGTGAGAGGCGTAGCCCGCCGACTTCAGGAAGGCCTGGTAGATCTCCAAATCGCCCGCGTGCTTCGTGTGGCGCTGGTGGTGCTCCTCCTTCACGACGAGCGTCCTCCGCCCGTCGGAGTCGACCTGGACCGTGACGATCTTCACCTTCTTGGTGCACCTCCCCGCGAAAGTGTCGAGTCGCACGTCGTCGTTCTGGTGCCAATACTCACGAGCACAGGCGAGGTCGACGAGATCAGAGCGCAGAGCCCGCATGCGGTGGCGTGCGAGCTTGCCCGCGTCGTCTTGTAGCTTCCGTCGATCCGCCGCGTTCGAGAAGCGACCGATGACGCTGTGGCTCACGTTGTCGCCGCAGCAGACCCGCGAGATGCCCCGGAGCAAGTTCTTGGCAGCGCCATCCGCCGGCGTTACAGCCTCCATCACCGCGTCCACCTTCTGCTGGGCATACTTCCGACGCGTCCCGCCGTTCGGAAGGGCCGCGAGCGAGAAGTAGCCCTTGATCGCCCGGCCCATGGCGCGTAGGGCCTTGATCTCCTTCAAGTCCAGTCGCAGCAGCTTCCCTGCTCGCGCGACGACGGCCTGGAGGATCGCCGCGGTCCGGCTCTGGTCGCCTCCGCCGTGCACGAAGAGGGCCGCGAGCACAGGATTCACGTCACGGGCCTTCGCCTCTGTCGCCGGCCCCGCCGATGGCTCGTCGACACGAGCGGCTGTGACCCGGCGCCGCGGCCGGGGGGGCTCCGGATCGTCGCTGGAGTCGTCGTCGGATCCGCTACCGTCGGGTCCGCCGTTCGCGCGCGGCGTGCTCGTCGGCTCGAGGCGCGCCATGAGCGCCAAACCCTTCTTCGCCATGCCCTGCGTGCGGTTCGGGAGCGCCTCGACGGTCTTGGCCCACGCGGCCCCAGGCGTCGACAACTTCGCGCGGAGGCTCTGAATCTCCATGTCGGCCTCGCGGAGCAGCGCGTCCTTCGTCACGCACTTGGCGCAGCCCGCGCAGCCCTCGTCGCTGGAGTCGCTGGAGCCGACGCCCTCGTCGATGCGGTCGCTCGAAACGACGGGCCCGCGGGCTGCTGCTGGCTGCCGCGGCGTCGAGTCGTACTGGCGACGTAGAGCGGCAGCGAACGCCGTCCGGTCACGGGGAACAGGGGGTTGGTAGGTGTCGACAGGAGCATGATGCGGGCGTGTCGAGCGCCGTGGGGCCGGGGGCGCCGGCGGCAGAGGCGGCTCGGGTCCGTCGTCGGGCTCCGGCGCCGGCTCGGGCTCCGGCGCCGGTTCGGGCTCCGCCGCAGGGGCTTCTCGTGCGTCTCGCATCGACTGTGGCGTCGGGTGCTGCGCTGCAACACGCCCTCGCTTCGCCCCGGGTGAGCTCGGCGGGGAGCACGGCTGGCAGACGACCCCCGCCTCCTCGGGCGCCGCGTCCTCGTCCATCGCGCCGTCGCCGCCGACGACCCCGAGGCCCAGGTGTTCTCCGTGCTCATCGATGAGCCCCGCCCAGAGCCGCTCCAGCGCCGCCTCCTTCTCCTTCTCCACGTCGTCGCCGTCGGACAGCTTCCGGAGGTATTTCCGGACGGTCACCGTCTTCTCGCTGCACGGACATGTGAACCGCAGGTGCCAGTACTTGCGCGCGCCGTCCGTGAAGGTCGGCTCCAGCGTCTCGTCGAGGTCCACGGGCCGCGGCATGCACGACGACGAGCGCGTCCCCGCGAGGCAGGCCATCGCGCCGACGAGCATCGACATTTTCATGATCTTCGGGGCGTGGCGCTCCACCGCCGCGCCGACCCGCCGCACCAATGATGCGCGCTCGCGGCCGCTGATGCGCGCCATGGAGGCCGCGCGACAGAAGATGTGGCGCCCTTTGTGCATGCGCTGCGCGCGCCGCCCCAGCAGCCCAGAAGGACCTCCAGAGATGCTCTCCGCCGAGTGCATCGTGGCTGCTTTGTGCAGTTATCAACGAAACTTCGAGCCCTTGGTTCTCCTTGGTTCACGAGGGCTCAGCGCAGGCAGTACCCGAAACCCGGAGAGCTCGCGGCAGGAAAGCAGTCGGCGAAGGGCCGGTGGTGATTCGTGCGAACCTCCAAGATATCCGACACGCGCGCGCGAAACGCGCCCGACGGGCCGCGCGACCGCGGCGCGACGTGCGAGTTCGGCGGTACTTTAAGGCGCCGGCCGCGTTCTTATACTCACCGGGGGACCCCCGCGTACCAACCGCGCGACGGGCGGCGTCAGCGACGTGCCTTAAGGTCTAAGCGGCGGGGAGGGCCCTGGCTGAGCTGATTTTGGATGGCCGCGTGGAGCTTGCCGCGGATGTGGCAGAGCGAGAAGCACGCGTGGAGCTTCGTCTTCGCGCGGTGCAGCGTGATGAAGCGGTGCAGCGCGATGAGCGCCAGGTCCGGGTCCAGGGACGTCGCCGAGTTGGCGCGGCAGAGGAGCCCCGCGCGGCGCCGCGCGTGCGGGTTTTGTTTCCGCGCCGCGAGGCGGCCGCGGATCGCGTCGAGCCGCGCGAGCACGTCCGCGGGGAAGAAGGCCGGCGCCCCGCTCCGCTGCAGCGCCTCGTGGACGTCGCCCCAGCCCTCGTCGGCGAGGACCCACTTGGGGTTCAGCGGGAAGGCGTAGCCGCCGGCGACGCGGTCCAGGAGAAACCGCCGGAGCCCCGGCTCGTCGACGTAGGAGAAGCCGCCCGGGAAGCCGTCCCAGACCACGAGGTACTCGTCGTCGAGCTCCTGGGGGAAGTAGAGGTTGTAGCACTCGGCGCCGTGGCGCACGGCGCCGCAGGCCGCCGTCGCCTCGACGGCCTTCTCGACCCAGGCGGACGTCCGCGCGTCGCCCCAGCCGTACGGCGGCGGCGTCGGGGGGAAGCCCTTGCGCCCCTCCTCCTTGAGGATCGCGAGCCAGTTCGTCGTCCAGCAGTCCGTGTCGACGCCCCGCTCCTCCGAGAGCGCGCCCTCGAGCGTGTCGAGGAGCCAGGTCACGAGGGGCACCTGGTCGCGCGGGAGCTGCTCGGGGACGACGCCGCGGCTCCCGAAGAGGAACGCGTCCATGTCCGACGCCACGGGCAGCACGCGCGCCTCGGCGTAGGCCACGAGCAGCGACACGGGGTTGAGCGGATCGTCGTCGTCGGTCTGGACGACGACGGTCTTGGGCACGCCGCCGCCGCGCGTGCTCGCCAAATTCGCGTCCATGAACGCCGGCACGGACGGCCGCCCCGTGGCCCAGTCGCCATTCCGCGAAATGTCGCGCCGCTCGACGAAGGTCTCCCAGAAGACGCGCTCGGGCATGTCGACGCCGAAGGCCCCGGGCGCGTAGTCGTCGTGGAGCACGAGCCGCGGGTCCGCGACGGAGAGCATCTTCTCCTTCAAAACGCGCTCGACGACGTCCGGCGCGAGGTCGTCGAGGGCGTGGGCCTGGAGCATGAGCTCCGCCTTCTTCGACGTCGCCTGGGTCTCCGCGAGCACGTCCTCGACGGCCGCGACGGCCCGCTCGCGCGCGGCCGCGCTCCGGAAGTAGACGGTGATCCGCGCGCTCCGCGGCCGCGTGCCCACGCGCGCCTTGTGCTCCTCGGCGTGGATCTGCACGAAGGGCACGAAGCCGCTCAGGCGGCCCACCTTGGCCGACTTGCCCTTGACGTTGAGGCTCTTGCCCGTCGCCTCGCCCCGGAGCATGAGGCGGAGCGCCTCCCGGCTCGTCGGCCGCCAGACGGAGAAGAAGGCCGCCGGCGGGTCCCGCGGCAGCTCGCCGACGCGGCTCAGGAAGCCCAGCGGGCCCCGGTCGTCGCCGAGCCGGAAGAAGTCGGCGACCGCGCGCCGCGGGTCGCAGCGGACGAACGTCCGGCACCACCGCCGGAACCGGCCCACGTCGCCGCCGCCGCAGTCGTGCGCGGCGAGGACGTCCGCGGTGCGCTGGAAGTGGGTGATGACGTTCGACGACCGCCGCCGCCGCAGGGCCGGGCTCTCCTTGAAGATGTTCGCGAACTCGTCGGAGACGTCCTTGACCGTCGCCATGCGCTTGAGCGACCGCCGCGGCGGCGACGGCGGGTCGTCGTCGCCGTCCTCGGGCGCGACGCAGCCGCCGCCGAGGCAAGAGTCGGTCGCGAGGGACGCGCGGAAATCGGACACGTAGTCCAGCAGCGACTTCTTCCTGTTTTTCTCGTCTTCCCTCATAGCCCGCTTCAGTTCGCCGATGAACCGGAGGAACCGGTCGGCGTCGAGGCGGCCGCCGGCGCTCCTGGCGGCGCCGAGGACGGCCAGGGACGCGCGGCCGTCGCAGCGCGCCAGGATGTTCGCCTCGCCGAGGAGCCGCTCCAGGAGCGGGCCGTCGAGGAGGCCGTCGACGGCGTAGTGGTCGAAGACCGTCCGCAGCCGCGTTTCGACCTCGGGCTGCGTGACCTCGGACGCGCTCCGCAGCAGGGCGAGGCACGCCGCCAGGTCCTCGCCCGTGAGCGGCCGCCCCAGCTGCGCGCCGACGGCGTCGACCCAGTTGACGAACTTGCTCAGGTCCAGGGCGCCGCTCCGGATGGCGCCGCCGAGGGCCACCTCGAGCGGGATGCCGCGGCACTCCACGAACGCCGCGTGCCGCAGGTCCTCGGCGTCGACGTCGCCGTCGTGCAACGACTCCTTGGCGATGGGCGCCGACTTCGGCATCGTCTTCTGGGCAGCTAGAGCTTCATCATCGCGTGCGACGACCCTGGATGGCCGGGGCAAGATCGGGGCAGCATCTGGCCGGGGCAAAGAGCGGCGCCTCCTCAACACTGATTCAGACTCGTGACGCCGACGCCGCCCCTCGACGGCGCCCGCGCGCAGCGAACACGATGGCCCGCCTCTTTACCCTCGCTCTCGTCGCCGGAAGTGCTGCCGCCTTCGCCCCCGCGCGGTCCGCGCCGGCGAAGACCTTCGCGCTGCGCGAGACCGCGGCGAGCGCCGAGGACGTGCGCCTCGTCATCTCCGACGTGCCGGGCAAGTCGGAGCTCGACGAGATGACCGCGGCGAAACAGATTTCGGACCTCGACTCCCTGAGCGCGCGCTGGCAGCGCCAGAAGGACCTCCGCGAGTGGGAGGAGAGCCGACTCACGGGCTGGTCCGAGCAGGCCGAGATCATCAATGGGCGCACCGCGATGTTCTTCCTCATCGTCGGCCTGCTGACGGAGCTCTGGACGGGCCAGTCCATCCCGGAGCAGGTCGTCACCATGGCCCGCGTCGGCGGCTTCATCGGCCTGTGATCGCGTTGTCCGCCCCGTCCCCTCCCCCGCTCCGCGAGTCCCCCGGAGCTCCCCCCGCCCGAACTTCTTCCGAGTAAAAACACACACACATACCAACTCGGGCGCGTGGTCGAAGATAGCGACGACGCGCACACACACACACCAACCCGGGCGCGTGGTAGAGCACAGCGACGACGCGCCAGCACTCGCCGTAGGCGACTCGGACGGGTAGGCGCTCGCCACGCCGCACTACTCGCCACGCCCCGGCACCGCAGACCATCAAGCCAGAGGAGACTACCTCGCGCGCAAGTTACACGACCAGCGCGCGCCGTCGCCCCAGCCCTCACTTGAGACCCGGCGTGAAATGGCTGACCGCGGCGAGCGCGCCGCCGATGACGGCGGCCAGCGCCGCGCCTCGTGGTCCGGCGCCGGATTTGAAGAGGCCTCCGGTCATGACGCCCGCGGCGACGGGGTTGACCTGCGAAAAAACGGGGGCTCGCGAAACCGCCCCGAGGCGCTCGGTCCGCGGCGGCCGCGCGCGGGGCGCGTCAGATTTAAAAAGCTCGATTTGGTGTTCTCTCGTCAGAGCCGAAGCTCCGAGTTGGATTCGCCGATTTTCTCATCAGCCGCAGGCCTCCTCTCTCCGGGGACACGTTCGCCGGACGCGGCCTCGCCACGAAGTCGTTGTCGCCGCAGAGCTTGTCGAGCTCGACGGTCTCGCAGGCGGACTCGAAGGACGTGAACATGAGCGCGACGACGCCCGCGCTGTTGCCGAGGTTGGAGCCGTGCTTGCCGAAGCCGTTCATCAGCGCGTTGCTCCGGACGCGCAGGTTCGCGCCGCGCGGCGCGGCCGAGAAGCCCTGGACCGTGCCGTAGAGGCCGCCGCCGATCATGCCGCCGAGGTAGGAGATCCCGCAGTTGAAGAAGCACCGCTCGAGGTAGCCTCGCCCCCGGATGTCATATTCCAAATAATCCGGTTCCGCCGATGTCCGGACGCCGAACATCGAACCGAGTTGGCTCACATCGATGTCCTCCGGCCGGGCGGTGGCCATGGTTGTAGCGTCCGTACGGGGTCTGGACTCGCTGCGGGGGCTCTTGGACGCGCTGCGGCGGCCACAGTTCGTCGATAACCCCCAGGTGGCACAGCGATGCCCCACCTTGCGAGGCGGTGGACCACTGCGGCTCGCCAGCGTCGCTGCTGCGCCGCCAGTGCCCCGATCAACGTACATCTAGGTGCACCCATAGGAAATTAATTAATAAAGATCAATCATCGAATTCCGGCCGGCGGAGCCAGAGTCATTAGTCGTCCATAGAGGCTGTACGTCGACCGCGCGCGCGGGCGCGGTGTCGCGGCGGTCCGCGGGCTGAAATCACGGCCAAAATTGGGTTATGGTCGTATCAAAGCAAGTTTGATGATATTCGCGCGTTAATTGCACGTTTGCGATGGCTTTTTGCGCGCGGTCGCTGGTTCGGGTCGCGAAATCGCAAGATTTAACTTCAACAAAAGTGCTGAAGTTCAACAAAAATGTTGACTTTTAAATCCAGGCTATCAGAATCTGAGTTTTGATCGGTGCACTGTGCGCCGCCTCGCTCGATTGTCGCCAACAGGACTCCGAGGAGGCGTCCGAGGACGCATCGACCGCGCCCCAAAGCCCTCCCTCATCACCTCCGCGCTTTCGCAGGGGCCCTCTTTACAATGTCGTCCGTCGCACGGCGCACGCGCGTGCGCGAGCCTCGCGGAGATGCGTGAGCCGGCCGCGCGCGCACGACCATGCGAACCGGCCTCCGCGCAGGGCGGCTCGGAGCGTCGGCGATGGCGCGTCTCGCCGCGGCGGCGGCCGCTCGAGCCGCGCGACGCGCCGAGGCCGTCCGGTGAGCCCTCCGCGGCGAGAGCACTGGAGTGCATTTGCTCCGTCGCGATGGCCGCGCGGCTGCGGGTCGCCGGGCTCGAGACGACGTGGTACCGGCAGAGCCAGCGGCTCGTCGTCGCGCAGCTCGTGGGCGCTGCGTCGCGTGTGAGAAGGCCGCCGATGACGTCGAGGTCCTCGTCGTCGTCGAAGTCCGTCGCGCAGGTCGTGGTAGACCGCGTGTTCGGACGGCTTCGGCGGCCCGTCGTCGAACGCCGTCATGCACTTGGACGCCTCCCACGTGCATGGCATGATCTCCGCGTAGCCGCGGAAGGTCACGGTCGGCATGCACCCGGCGCCGGGCACCGCGGCGAGCACTGCTTCGGCGACTTCGGTGCGACTTCGCGCGATGGTCGTCCCGCCCTTCAGACTCCGCAATCCCGAAACTGCGTTTGGCGGACGCGGCGCGCTTCGCAGGACGAGCCGTGCGAGCGCTTCGGGCAGCACCAGGTGGCTGGGACGAAACGGTGGGTCCACCACGACGCGCGGTAGCAGCCGCTGCGGCAGCCGCTGTCGCAGGAGCCGCACGAGGTCCAACGGAGCGTCTGGGAGACGGACGGGCGCTCCTGGCGGGTCGGGGCAGCGCTCAGCCATGCGGAGACAATACAACACTGAACTTCACCATGCCGGAAACCAACTGAGATAAGCCATTCTGGAGCACATCTCGAGGATGGCTTTGTGAGAGCTCCAGCAACGCCTTGCGCTCGTCAGCGCGCGCGCAGCTCCGCGGGTCGGAGGTCGCCGCACGCATGCGCCGCTTCGCTGGCTCCTGCGCCGCTGCTGGACGCCTGCAGCAGCACCTCCCGCGACTTGGGGTGCGATGCGCGCTCGTCGTCCATCGTGTCCAGGCTGAGCTGCGACTCGCAGGCCCTGGACGACTTCCAGGATGACGGGTCCGGCGCGCGCGACGTCATCCAGGGCGTCACGAGCGGCAGCGACGAGATGGCGGACGCCGACGACGCCGGCGCGCGCGCCGACGAACCGGAGCCGGAGCCGGAGAAGGGCTTCGACCCCGTGGGCGACACGAAGGAGCTCCCGGAGAACCCCGTGGAGAAGATGCTCCAGAAGCCGCTGACGATGTCGCGCGACCTGCTCGACCTCGTCTTCGCGGCGCTCCAGCCCGAGCCCGCCGACGATCCCGTCGGCGCCCGACGCGCGGCCGTACGTCGAGCCGCGGCCCCAGCGCTTCGAGCCCGCCGCGGCACCGCGAGCCCGCCGCCGCGGCTGCGGCGTTGGATCAGACTGCGCTCGACGCGGCTGCGCGCCGCGTCGCGCCGCCGGCCCCGGCCGAAGACCGCGGGGCCGAGGTCTCCGCGCCCGCGGCGCTTTACGGCAGCGGCGAGGAGTGCCTCGAGCCCGAGCCGCGCGACGACGACGACTCGGACAGCGGCGGCGCGTCCGACGGGCTTCGCCTCGCGGACGACAGCGAGTTCCCCCGCGCCCCGCGGTCCCGTTGGACGGGACGCGCGACCGCCGGTTCCGAGCGGGTCGTCGTCGTCCAGGACGTCGTCGCCGTGGCCCACGGGCACGAGTTCACGTCGTCGATGCGGCGCGCGGCAGCCCTAGCGTCGCGGGCCGTCGCCCTGGCGATCCGTGCGCGCTTCGCGAAGCGCGATACCCGGCGCCCGCGGCGGGCGCCCGCGCGCCGCGGAATGGGCCCGGCCCGGCCCGGCGCCAGCCCTGCACGGCGCGGCGCCGGCGCGCACGCCAGTGCTCGGCACCGCCGATGGGGGCCGCGCGGACTTAACTCGAAACCGCGCGTTTCTAGTTGGACGCGACGATGGCCTCGTCGTCGAGGTCGTCCAGCTCGATGTCGGAGTCCTCCGACTCGTAGGGCTGCGTCGTGTCCTCGACCGCCGCGGCGACGGGCTCCGGCGCGCCGTGGTCCCAGATCGGGCGCAGCAGCGTCTTGATCTCCGACAGCTCCATGCCCCGCTGCCACAGCCAGGTCCGCCCGGCGCGCGTGTCGGCCTCGACCGTCTCGCGCCAGAGCCGCGCGCACGCGGCGAGGGAGATCGTCGAGACGCCTTTGATTTCGGACTTGGTTTGGCTCATGAGGAAGTCGCCCTGGCGCGCGAAGTCCGGGTGCTTCGGGTGCCATGGCGGCAAGATGTTGAAGAAGCCCTCCATGGTCTCGTCGAAGGTCGGCGCCACGCGCACCTCCGGCGCCTCCGGACAAGCGCGGACCTGGGCAGGAAAAGGGTGCGAAATTCCCAACTTCAAAGGCTCCTATCTCGGTCGTTTTCCGCTCGTTTCGGCTGATTTTTGGACGAGCGATCATCTCTCGGAGCGCTCTCGAAGCGCGGGTGCTGTTTCCGAAACGCGCGCGCGCGGAACACTCACGTTGAAGCGACGTTGAATCACCCTTTTGCTGCCCTGGCGCGGACGCGTTCGGTCTCCAGTACGTAGAAGAGCTCCTGGCGCTTGTCGGGGCGGAGAGAGTCGACGCAGGCAACGAGGGCCGCGGTCTGGAAGGCCTCGCGGGCCTCGGGGCTCGCGCCGCCCGCGTGGCCGAAGATGAGGAACGACTTGACCAGGTCGCCGGCGCGGGCCGCGTCGACGGCGAGGTCCGAGGGGTAGTCCTCGCGGTAGAGCGTGTCGTCGCCGACGTCGACGCCGCAGATCGTCACGCGCCACTTGCCCTCGTCGAGGCGCACGACGTCGAAGTCGGCCGTCGCGTAGCGGTGGAGGCAGGAGGTGATGTCCGCGACGCCGGACAGGACGCCCGCGGCCTCGCAGTTGACCATGGAGAACGCGGGCGCCGTGAGGACGGCGTAGAGCACGGGCATCAGGTCGTGCACGTTCACGCCCTCGAAGGGCAGGCCCATGCTCTTGAGCCCCGCGGCGACGAGGCCGAGGATGCTGATGCCGCGCGGCGTCTCCATGTCGAGGTCCTCGACGTCGCACGGCAAGAACATGATCACTGCTATCATCTGCCGGCCGCCGAGCGCGTCCTGGCCCAACGGGAAGAGCACCAGGTACTTGTGGTCGAGGTCCGTCGCCGTCGTCACCTCGGGCTCGAGGATGTAGAGGCGAAGGCAGTGGAGGAGGAACGCGCGCGAGCAGAGCAGCGCAACGCGGCCCGCGAGGCTCGCGAGGACGCGGTCCCCTGTTTCGACGAAAGTGGAGCTTTTTACCCGATTTTTGCAGTTAAAAATCTTCGTGATAGTTGGGAGGATCGAAAGGCAGAGGTGATAACCGACCGTCGTTTGGAAGTGGGTGAGAAGCGTAGGGACAAATTCGTCCATCACCCGCAGGCCCGCGACGCCGTCCCGCGCGGCCTTCGCGCGCGCGAGCAAGTAGCGATGAAAGTCACAACGGCCGAAGCCGTGCCAGCCAATCCATCTACGGCCCAACACGGCCAGTGACATGCGCTTGCGCGCTATTTCCGCCCAGCCTTCCTCGGAGAGCGAAAGGAGGGCGGTGGCCTTTAGTGTAATCAGCTCCCTGCATGGCACTGAGCCGAGAGTGTGCGTGAAGGCCACCGCCACCATCAGGCTTAAGGGGTAGCGCAGCTGATAGGTGCGACTTCCCAATTTTATCCGCCAAGGCTCCGCGAGCGGGCCCCGATGCTCGCCGCAAGCACGAAGCATCGCCACACACGATTTTTTGCCACCCGGATCTCAGGCTGACCTGGGCTGAGCCTGCCAGTGGGCTCGACGAAGCACCCACCACAAAGCCCCGGGCTGGAGCTCGGGCTGCGGGTCCAGGCTTGGGGCACCGGGCATGCACCAGTCCACCGTGGCACAAAGGGGTTCGTAATCGCCCCTGGAGCCGTCACATGACGTCGCATGCGCGCACATAAACGGCGCGGGTCGCGGCCGCGTGGGCGGGGTTGATTTTCGCGCAAGTTGACGGCCCACGGACGCGAATCGACCCCGCCGGAGCCCGAGCGGTCCAGCCGACGGCGTCCTCGATCGCCATCCGCGAAAAGCGGCTGTTCCAGGCCTGGCGACGCCTCCCCTGGCGCCACGGGACACGTCGTCGGTGGCCGATCGGACCGGGAGCGGCACGCCGTGGCGCCGCGACGATTAGTGCCCCCGAGCCCCCGGGCGACGCCGGGAGTCGTACCGGCCGAGGCACCTGTCGAGATCTCGCCTCGGCGCATCGCAGCCGCGCGCGCGCGACTCCGTCCGGACGAGCGCCCGCTTCGCGGCCGCGGACGCCGCGCGGTCGTCGTCCGCGGCGTCGAGTCGTCGGCGCCCCCGAGCTAGGCGATGTAGAGCAAGCCCATGGCCGTCTAGTAGTAGCAGGCGTCGTCGCGGTCGTCGTCCCAGTCGTCGCGGAGACTGGACCGCGGCGCGCTCCGGCCGCCGTCGTACGCGGTGCAGAACTCGTCGCTTGCTGTGGTACTCGTCGCCGATGAAGGACGCGCCGGCCTGCGCCGCGGGCCGCTTCAGCGGCGCTGGCGCGACGTACTGCGGCCTCTGCCCGAGCGGCCAGACGTCCGGCGAGGGGTCGAGCGGCCGCGTGCCCGTCGACGCGGGGTCGCGCGCGGCCGGCGACGGCGAGGTCCGTCGTCTCGCAGGTCACCGACGGCGCCAAGGCATAGGCGCCGTCCTCGCGCGGGATCCCGCGGATCGCGTCGAGCACCCGCGCGTCCGGCGACCGCCGCGCAGCGCTCAGGCGCCGCGAGCTCGTCGGCGACGCGCTGCTGCATCCTCTGCGTCGTCGCGAGCTCCGCCGCCGACGCGTGCGCGTTGCACCGATGCTCGCGAGTACATCGAGGAGCGCGTCGTCGAAGCGATGGCGCTCCGCCTCGAGCGGCGCGCAGCAGCAGAGGCGAGGCGCTGCGGCGGCGCACCTCGTCGCTGCGCGTCGCGCCGAGCACGTCGTTGCCGACCTTGACCTCGAGCGGCGCGCAGCGCAGCAGAGGCGAGGCCCAGCACTGCATCTGTGCGCACGCGCTGACGACGCGGGCCATGTCCTCGGCGCTGCGAGGTGACGTCGGCATGCTCCAATTGCATGCTCTCACAGTTTTTCACGTTTTGTGCAATTTTGTGGTGAAACGCGCCGCATTGGCGATATCGACGAGCTCCTCGCCGCGTGGCGCCCGCCGCACGCGCGCGCCCGGTGGCCCCGGGCCCCGGAGACGCACGCTCGCACGCCCGCTCGCGTCCGGCGAGCCCGGGAACACGCCTCGGAGACGGGCCGACGGCCCAGGGAGCTCACGACGACTCCACGGCGAGCTCCACGATGGGCGACGTGGACGTGAGCGCCCTCGCCGCGGAGCGCGAGCTCGCTTTACTACGACGCTTCGGGCAACCCGTGGTCGAAGAGCAGCTGCCCGGGACGCGCGCGGTGCGCTGCGTCCTCGACGACCGCGGCGTCGGCGTGCTTTCGACGCACCTGTCGTTCTTCGAGGAGGCGTCCGGCACGGCCGCCATTCGCGAGGTCCTCGACGACCCAGCGTTGCACGGGTCGTTCGATAGCCTCGTCAAGATGCAGACGACGAGGCGCGAGACCAACCGCGTCTACGCGGAGGGCTGGCGCGACGTCGAGAACGGCGTGCGCTGGACGGCGAACAAGGTCGTCGAGGAGTTCCCGGCGGTGTTTCCGTACCCCGTCCACGTGCATCGCCGGCTCCGAGGACTCACAGTGCGCAAGCCGGATCCTCCGAGGGGAAGCCGTGACGTTTTGACTTTCTTGCCGGCCGATGTCCGCGACCTCGCGGAGAAGCTGGGGGCGATGCCGGAGAGCGAGCAGAGCAGCAAGTACCGCGGGGTTCACCGGGCTCAGGACAGGTGGTATTATGCGACGGTGGCTTTTAAGGGCCGGGTGGAGCACGTCTACAGCGGCCGCCGCGAGATCGACGCGGCGAAAGCCTGGGACAGACGCGCGCGCGCGCTCGGCAAGCCCGGGCCATACAATTTCGACTATGTCGCGCCCGCGCCAGGGCTTCGCGCGGAACTCTTCGACAACCTCGTGGCCGAGCCGCTCCCCAAGAGCGCCGAGCCCGCCGGCGAGCTCGCGCGCGCGGCCGACGCGGACCGCTCCGAGGACGCCGCGGGCCCCGACGGCGGCGACGACGCGCCCGACGCCGTGGGCGCGCGCGCGGCCGACGCGGACCCGCGGGCGGGCGAGACCTGGCGCTTCAAGTGCCACTGCGGCGTGGACTGCCAGGACTTCGACGACGGCGAGGCGATGTGGCAGTGCGAGCAGTGCGAATCGTGGCAGCACGCGCGGTGCGCTATGCCAAGTTGTATGCACCGCATCTGTCCCGATCCATACTTCTGCCGCGAGTGCGCGCCCATCGTCGCGCAGAAGCGGCCGGCCCCGCCGGCGGGGCCGCCGCCCGAGCCCGAGAAGTCGCCGTACGAGAAGGAGCGCGACGCGCGCATCGCGCGGAACGCGGACTTCCTCGCGAGCCTCGGCCTCGGCGGCGGCCTCGCGCCCACGGAGGAGAAGAAGAAGAAGACCGTGAAGAAGCGCAAGGCCGAGTCGCAGGAGCCCGCGCGGAAGAGCTCGCGGCTGGCGGAGGAGGCAGAGCGGCGGCGCGACGCCGTCGCCGAGGCCCAGGCCGCCGCCGCGGAGGCGCGCGCCGCGCGCAAGCAGCGCATCCTCCAGGGGCCGCTCGTGCGCTACGTCGCGACCTTCGAGCGCTACCTGCTCGCGTCGGCCGCCGGCCCGGACACGATCGACGACGACGATGACGACGCCGAGCGCGACGCGGCCGCCGCGCCGCCGCCGCCCGTCGTCCACCCGCACGGCCCGCCCACGCTCCGCAAGGTCTACCTCGTCCCCGACGCGCAGCGCGAGTGGGCCCCCATCGACGGCGTCGCCCCGCCCCAGGACGACGACGCCCGCGCGGCCGTCCTCGCGCTCCGCGCGGAGCCGGCCGCCGCCGCGCCCGCGCCCGCGCCGCCCGCCGCGCCCGCGCTCACGGCCGCGCCGCCGACGCCCGCCGTGGCCGCCGCGCCGGTCGCCGCCGCGCCCGCGCCCGCGCCGTCCGCCGCGGCCGCCGCCGCCGCGCTCGCCGCCGCCGCCGAGCGCGACGCGAAGAAGCGCCAGGCCGAGGCCGCCGCGCCCGCGCCGAAGAAGCCCAAGGCCGCCCTGACCGACGCCGATCTCGCGGCGGCGAAGGCGCTCGTCGCGGCGTGGAACGCGGAGGAAGACGCGTGGAAGGTGGTCAAGGCGGTCCTCGCCGAGGTCGTCGGCAAGACGAAGCTCCAGGCGGCGCTCGACGAGGCGAACGCCGCCCACTCGCGCGCCCGCGTGTCCCTCGCCGCCCTCCGCAAAGCGGCGTCGACGCGCGTCAAGGCCGCGGCCAACAAGCTCAAGAAGGAGAGCGTCCCCGCCTAGGCATCTAGTCGCACGCGCGTGCTAAAGGCCGCCCGAAGCCCGCGCCGACGACGTAGGCGGCGAACATCGCCGAGTGCGAGGCGTGGGCCGTCAGGCGCCGCTCGGCGCGAAGCTCCACGTCGCGGGCGAAGCCGCCGCAGGCGAAGCCGTCGTCGACCTCGTCCACGCGGACGAGTCCCGCGAAGGGGTCGACGCGCTCCCCGACGCGCGCGTCGGCCCCCAGGTCGACGTCGCGGGCGCCAACGCGGCCCACGAGGGGCAGCAGCAGCGCGGCGCCGTCGACCTTGACCTCCGCGGCCACGAAGCCCCACGGCTTCCTCGCGACCGCCGCGCCTCCGCGAGAGCGCGTCCGCCGGCCGGTACCCGACGGCGACGTCGGCGACGGGCGAGCCGACGTGAGTCCTCGATGTGGCGGCGGCGCGCGACCACGGCCGGGGCGGCAACGAGCACGTCGTCCCGAGGCGCACGGACAGGACGCCGCCTTCCTCGACGCCGTCAAAGACTGCGTCGCGCAGCCCAGGTAGCCGGACGCCCGCGCGCGCGACCGCTGCGGCATGACGTCTTCGCAGCACTGCCACGCGTGGTCGTCACGGACCGCCTGCTGCCTCCGCCGCGGTGCGGCGCCAGCTGCAGCGCCGCGAGCCGCGAGCGCGCCGACGCGACGTAGTCGGCCGCGGCCGCGCCGGCCTGTCCGAGCACGCGCCTGGCATCCCGAGCGTCGCGCTGCTCGCGCGTCGGCGCGTCGCGCGCCGCGCGTCGCGCGCCGCGCGTCACGACGCGTCCATGCACGTGTAGAGCGGCGCGAGGTGGCCGCCGAATCTGCCGCCGCCGGCCTAGCAGAGGCCGAAGCAGAGCACGGCGCCCGCGGCAGCGACCGCGAAGTGCTCGCGGCACCTCGTCGCGCAGCAGATGCGAATACTCTCGCAGCATATCTAACGATTCAATGCTGCATGTCGACGCAGCACTAGGAGCACGCATCGGGGCGCGGAGAGCCGCTCGTGAGAAGACCTGGGAGAGGACGGGCAAGCTGAAGCGACGTTGCCTTCGCTTTTGCCCGGGGCATGGCCGCGTGACGGTCGCCACGCGCTGGCGATCTACCCAGCCTTTTGTTTGGTGCCTCGCGCGGCCCACTCGTCCGGGGGCGCGGTGAATCGACGCGCTTCGTGTCGCAGCAGACGTCGTCACCTCATGAAATCGGGTGACTGCCCCGGCGGGCGCGCCACGGCGCTGGCAGCCGGACGGGTCGCCGCCGATGCGGGCGCGAAGACCGGCTGCGCGCGAGCCGCACGCGGAAGCCTCGTCCAGCGGAGCGCATCGCGCCTATAAGCGCCTAATTGACAGATTTGTCCCCGGCCAGCCCTCTACTGCTTCATCGACTAAAGTCGGCGACGATCAGTGTCGCTCATCTCGGACAGGCTAAGGTCGCGCGGCGGCGTCCGACACGCGTGGGTGGGCCGCTGAGAGATGCTCGTGATGACCGGAAGACTGCTCGGCGCGCGCGGCGAGACGAGACGCGCCGCTGCGGGCACCCGCTGGCTCGCTCGCCCGCCGAAGCAGGGCGACACCAGCTAACTCGCTCCCCCAAAACGCCCTTGACCCCGTCGCCCCCTCCGCAGCTTCGTGTGTACCACCGTCCTCCCGCCTCTCTACACCATGGGTCCCCCTCCGTCCAACGAGCCGCCGAAGTACGTCATCATGCGCGCCGTCGGCGGAGAGGTCGGCTCGGCGTCGTCGCTCGCGCCCAAGATCGGCCCCCTGGGCCTCTCGCCCAAGAAGGTCGGCGAGGACATCCAGAAGGCGACCATGGACTGGAAGGGCATGAACGTGACCGTCAAGCTCACGATCATCAACCGCCAGGCGACCGTCGAGATGGTGCCCTCCGCGAGCGCTCTGATCATCAAGGCGCTCAACGAGCCCGTGCGCGACCGCAAGAAGGAGAAGAACATCAAGCACGACGGCAACATCACCCTCGACCAGGTCATCGAGATCGCGCGGACCATGCGGCCCCGGTCGATGGCGAAGACGCTCCACGGCACCGTCTTCGAGATGCTCGGCACGGCCTTCTCCGTCGGCTGCACGGTCAACGGCGAGGCCCCGATGGACATCATGCAGCAGATCAAGGACGGCGAGCTCGAGTGCCCCCTCGAGTAGGCGCGCCGCCGCGACCCGCGCCGCGTCCGCCCCGTCCGCTCGCGTCGTAACAAGCAGAGTAGAGATCGAGGCTGATTTCACTTTTACGAAGTAGACCAAAAGTGAACTAACAAGGCCTAGGAGATTCTTTTTTTTCCGGCCCGGCAAGGGCTAGGAGATTCTTTTCGATGCGCGCGTTGTACTATCACGCGGGCGCGCCGGGCGCCGTGGCCGCGGCGCGTACGTTGGCACGCAACGTTAGCCATAGTCACTAGAGTATTCGCTGCGGCGGATGCGGGGGGCACCGTGACTGGCGCCGTGCAGCGCGCCTGCCTCGCGCACGCCAGCGCTCGCTGATTTCGTTTTTTCCGCGCTTCAACTTCACTTCAACTTTACGGTAAGTTACCTCCTAGGAGATTCTTTTCGGGGCTGCTGAGCCGTCCAAAAGTGACCTTGGGAGCTCGATCTCTACTAACAAGAAGGATGGCCCGCCATCCGCACTAGCTCGTGTGCCTCTCGCAGGGGAGCGGCGGCGCGCAGGGGGCAGAGAACACGAGACAGGACGAGTAGCAGAAAAAAACAGCCTACTTCGTGTACCCGAGCAGCACGCGCGCGCGCTTGCTGCCGCCGACCTTCTGGATGTCCTCGGGCTTGGCGCGCTCGGGCTTCGCCGCCGCCGCCGGCGGCGGCGGCGCCCGCTCCTCGCGCACCTTCTCCTTCCAGGTCGCGAGGAGCTCCGCGGCGGCGGCGCGGCGGCCGTAGTCGCCGACGTCGCCGAGCTTGAGGAACCGCGCGAGGACGGCGCCGGCCTTGCTCCGCTGGAGCACGCCCGCGTCGACGGGCAGGCGGCGGAGCGCGGCGAGCGCGTCGTCGAGGCGGCCGTGCTGGCGCGCGCAGCCCACGGAGCCCGCGCGGACGGCGGCCAAGAACGGCGCCGCGGCGGCCGTCGCGCGCGCGTCGAGGGACGGCGGCGGCGGCCGCGGGGGCGCCGCGGCGCCCGGCGCGCGCGCCGTCGGGAAGGCGACGCCGGCGGCGCCGTCGCGCGCGCCCGGGAACGCGGCGCCCGACGACGACGCGACCCGCAGCCCCTGGCCCGAGTTGAAGAGCTTGGGCGCCGCGACCCTGGGCGGCGGCGCCGGCGCGCGGGGCCGCGCCGCGGGCACCGTCGGCGGCGCCGGCGCCGGCGCCGGCGCCGCCGCGCCGCGCTTCGCGAAGAGCGCCTTTCGTCGCTCCGCGTTCGCGTCGTCGGCGCGCGGCGCGGGCGGCGAGCGGCCGCGCTTCGCGTCGTCGCGCGTCCGCGACATGAACTGGTGGATGTCGTCGAAGGCGTCGCCGGAGTCGCGCTTGCCCGGGTCCGGCGCGTCCGGGCCCCGGCGCGACGAGCACACGAACGCCGACTTGGCCTCCCGCTTCGCCTCCGCGACGGCGGCGCCGCCGCCGAGCCCGTTGCCGCGGAAAAACGCGCGCAGCCCGTCCTCGGCCTCCTGGAAGGTCGCGGGCGTCTTCAACGAGTCGTCGATCCACTTGGAGAGCATCGCGCGCTTGCCACGGCTCGCGAAGCGCTCGTCGCAGAGGAGCACGGCGCCGAAGTCGCCCTTGTGGCGGATGGCCCGGCCGAGCGCCTGGTTCACGGCCCGCGCGGCCTGCTGGTCGTACCAGGCGCCGCCGGAGAGCCCGTCCCGGTTTTGGCGCTTCTTGTCGTCGAGGAACGACCGCTTGCCCCGGACCTTGCGGTCCCTCGCGGGCGCGTAGGGCAGCCCCGTGACGACGACGCAGCGGCACCTGTCGTCGGCGAAGTCCATGCCCTCGGAGACCTTGCCCCGGCAGACGGCGAGGAGCAGCGCGCCGGGCGCGCCGGGCGCGGCGGCCGCGTCGAACGAACGGATCACGGCCTTCATGTCCGCGGCCTTGCGCGGCTCCGACAGGACGACCTTCCCCGACCGCCGCTCGATGTCGTCGAGGACGCCCGTGCGCTTCCAGGCGCTCAGCGCGTCGTCCATGGCGCCGTAGGACGGGAAGAAGACGAGCACGCCGCCGCGCGGCACCGCCGCCGCGACGCGCGCGACGACGGCGCCGAGGTCGGCCTTGTACTCGGGCCTGGACCGCACGGCCCAGGTGGACTTGAGCGGCCGCGCCGACGGCGCGACGCCGACGACGGCGGCGTAGAGCTGCGTCGCCGCGTCGATGACGTGCGGGTTCTCCAGCACGGAGGGCTTCCGGAGCCCGAGCTCCGCGGCGAAGGACGGCAGCGGGCTCAGCGTGCCCGACGCGAACAAGAGGCTCCGCGCGCCCAGGGCCAGGAGCTCGCTCACGGCGAGCCCCGGCGAGAAGCACCAGTAGCACAGCGCCGCGGGCGCGTCGCCGCCGCCCTCGGACACGTGGACGCGGTAGTACGCGTCGCCCAGCTCTTTCGCATCATCGCCGCCCGCCGGCGGCGCGTCGGCGCCGGGCACGCTGAGCTGGCCGCGGAAGGCCAGGCGCGTCGCGCGCTCGAGCAGCTCGAGCTTCGCGGACGCGTTTTTCGACGCCTCGTCGCCGTCGCCCGCCAAAACGTCCGCGGCGCCCCGCAGGCCGCTCGCGAACCACTCGGCGGCCGCCGCGCAGGTCAGGCCCGCCGGGTGCAAGACCAATTCGTGGAGCCTGCCGCCCCGGTCCTCCAGATAGGCCGCGCCGCCCTCGGGGTCCTTCGTAGGACACGCGACCCGCCCGAGCGCGTCCTCGAGCCCCAGGACGACGCGCTTCAGCTGCAGCAGGCCCTCCTCGCTCGGCAGCTCCGCGTCCAGGCCGCCGTCCTTCGCATCCAAGCTCGCCTTCAGCTGCATCCGGCCGAGCGCGTCGACGCAATGATCCAGCTCGCGCGCGGCGCCGCCGACGTCCGCGGCCGTCAGCTCGAAGGACGCGGCGTCCTCGGCGACGGACGCGACGTTGTGCGCCTCGTCCAGGACGACGATCGTGCCCCGCCAGTCGATGCCGGACGTCGCGCGGTGCCGCTCGTCGAGCACGTAGTTGTAGGGCGCGAAGACGAGGTCCGCGTCCTTCAGGTTCGCGCGCGCGCCAAAGTAGGCGCAGGTGCCCCGCCGCTTGCCGTCGTCGACGAGCTCCTCGATGTCCAGGGCCACGTCGCCAAAGTCCTCGCCCTTGCGCGCCTTCAATTGCTTGTCGAGCTCGTTCCGCAGCGAGCAGCCCCGCGCGGCGCAGAGCGCGCGGCAGGCCTTGTTCTGCGCCGTGCCGCGCAGGCGCTTGACGACGCTGTGGCCGCAGAGATGCTCGCGGCTGCCGATGACGGCGACGCGCGGCGCGTAGGACGACGCCCGCAGCGCCTTGACCGCCTGCGACAGCTGCGCGTGCGTCCGCGACGCGTAGACGACCGCGCGCCGCTCGGGCGGCGGGCCGCCGTGGTCGGCCTTGGCGGTCTGCGCCGGCGCGTGGCGCTTCGCCCAGGCGAGCGTGGACACGAGGAGGCAGAGCGTCTTGCCGGTGCCCGTCGGGCTCTCGAGGATCGCGGACGTGCCGGCGTCGACGGCGCCCAGGGCCTTGTCCATGAAGTCGAGCTGGCAGGCGTAGGGGTCGAAGGGGAACTCGACGGGCGTGTCCCGCACGACGCCGCGCCACTTGGCCGGCGCGCGGGCCGCCGAGACCGGCGCGGACGCGGTCCAGCCGCCGGGCGGCTTGCGATCGGCGCGCGGCGCGTTGTGCGGCTTGAGCGTCGCCGGCTGGCCGCGCGGCGCCTGCCACGGCGGCGGTTTGGCGGCATTGCTCGGCATCGGTGCGGCGCCGCGCGGCATCGGTGCGGCGCCGCGCGGCGCCAGCGGCTTGGCCTCCGTCGACGCCGCCGAGATGTTCGTGAACCGCAGCACGGGCTTCGGCGCGGCGGCCTTCTTCGGCGCGCGCGCGGCCGGCTTCGCTGCGCCGTTGCCGCGCATGCTCGGCCACTGCGGCTTGTCCATGTTTTGTCAAGCAGATTAGGCGTAAATTAGGCGGCCATCATGGTTTTGAACCAAACGATGTTGACATCATCATTGACGGCACCTACGACGGTTTCCGGCGCCGCTCTCCGTGCCAGCGCCTGTGGACCACACCTGGGCGTCGTCTGCTGCTCCAGTACCGCCCGCTAGCCCGACGAGATAACGACCACGCCCGCGTCGAAGTCCTTCGCGGCCCGCTCTTTTAGCTCCCTGCTCCAAAGCGTGCAGCCGATGCAGCCGATGCAACCGGGGATGATGGTGGGTGTGCAAGCAAACCAGCACGTGCTCCGGCAAATAAAAATGATGTTTTCCCTTGGGTTCTCCGCGTCGTCGTTTCCTCCGTTCCTCGAGGGACGCTACTCGCGCGAGGAGTTCAAGGCCGACATCGACTCGATCAACGACATCATACGCTCGGCGATGTTCATCGCCCTGCCCGGCAGGGTGTCCAGGATGTCCAGGCTTTCGGCGCATATGGTCCTTGGGCTGCTCTTTCCGGTCGGCTTGGTCCTTGCCTTAAAAGGAACTACTATCCATGACGACGAAATCGGTATAAGTCTGCAAACTCAGGTGGGATTCGCCATGATTATGCTCCACAACTTGATTCAACTTGGTCTCGGTCAGTACCTCAACCAGAAGGGCGAGAAGGTCCTGCAAGGGGCGCAGCCCCAGTCCGCGGCTCGAGGCGACGAGATCACGAACGTGCCCGACTACGTCGAGGCGCAGCTCGCGCCCAAGTACGCCCGCTTCGGCGCGCACATCCAAGTACGCGCGCTTCAGCGCCCCAACCCACGCGTCGTCATCATGGACCACTGCATCGTCGTGACGGACACGGCCGCCGCGCCGCCGCCGGTGGTCGCTCCCGTCCTGGGAGTCCAGCCCATGGGCATCGTCCAGCCCGCGATGCCCCTCGCGCAGCCGCCGCCGACGCCGCCGCGGCGGTCGTTCCTCTCGAATCTGTCGCCCTTCTCCGCGTCCGCGCCGCCCGCGCCGCGCGACGTCGAGGCGCCCCCGAACCCCCTCGCGTCCGACGCGGCGAAGACGCCGACGGACCGCCTCCTCGAACTGAAGCAGATCCACGCGCTCGGGCTCATCAGCGACGCCGAGATGCAGGCGAAGCGCGACGCGATCCTCAAGGACGTCTAGGGGGCCGCCGCCCGCGGCACGCGCGGCGGCCCTAGAGACGGAGCATCGATCGGCAATCCCCGCGCCTCCCGCGACCCCGCGCGCGTGGTGGCATGGTAAGGGCGGGGCGCGGCGCGCCTCGGGTGGCCCCTCCTAGGTGGCCATGGCGCTTCGCTTGCGCTTCGCGCGCGCGTCCGCGAGCCAGGCCTCGATCTTGGCCTTGAGGTCCGGGAGGGGCGTGACGTCCTTGGGCTCCATGGGCGTGCGCGAGAAGGGGTCCGTGAGCTCGTTGAGGAGGTGCTGCTGGATCGTCGAGTTGTCGACGACCTGGCCCGACGGCAGCGCCACGGGGTCCGTCATCATCGCGCACGTCAGCGGGTCGACGAACTCGTCGGGCGCGTCCTCCTCGATGCCGTCGTCGAGCGCCGCCGCGTCCTTCGCCGACGCCGCGGCGACGGCCAAGGCGTCCAGGTTCGCCAGCGACGCGTCGTCGAGGCCGCGGATGCGGCGGAGCGTCGCCTCCGTCTTCGGAAGCAGGTCCGGCTGGTAGTAGCCGCTCTCGGCGAGCGCGGCCGCGAAGTTGGGCGTTTGTGCGAAATGCGTCGCGATGCGGCCCACGCGCGAGAGGATGTCCTTGGGGTCGAAGCCGTACTTCTCCGGGTGCTCGATCTTGATGTCCATGGACCGGCGGCCCGTGAACGCGCGCATCACGGAGAGCAGCATGCCCGCGAGCCGCGGCCGGAGCGAGTCGAGCGCGAACGCGTCGCTGACGACGGAGTCGCCCGTGAGCAGCTCCACGAGGCCCAGCGTCTCCGTGCACAAGCGTAGATCGGAAGTCAGGTAGCGCTCCGCCTCCTGGTGCCGCTCGTCGAGCTCCTGCCGCCGCTGCTCGCCCGCGTTCTCGTAGTCGCGGCGCAGCTCCAGCAGCTGCGGGTCGTTGCCCGGGTTGAGCACGCCCGTGCGCACCTGGTGGTCGCGGATCGCCGGCAGCTTCTCCATCGTCGCCGCGACGAGGCGGTTCGTCTCGTTGAGCAGGCCGTTGGCGAAGGTCACGAACGCGCGCTCGTCGCGCGTTAAAGCGTGGAACGAGCCGCGGTGCGCCGGCGACGCCCACAGATGCTTCACGAGCGCCGCGACGCGGAGCCGCGCCGCCGTGACGTCGTAGAAGCCGAGGTGCTCCGCGTCGCCGAAGAGCCAGAGCAGCGCGGGCGCCAGGTCCGCCAAATCGCCCGTCGGCGGCGCGAGCAGCAAACCGACGTTCGCGTCCGACGCCGCCGACGCGCCGCGGTGGCGGCCGTCGTGCTGCGCGTCGCGGGGCAGGTAGCACTCGTAGAGGGCCTGGGCGAGCTTGTCGCGGCAGTGCGGCGACCGGACGACGCGCTCGCGCGCGCCCAAACACCGCGCGACGAGCTTGAGCAGGTCGTCGAGCGGCGGCGACCGCTTCACGGCCAGGGGCCGGAACTTGGCGAGCGTCGACGGCAGGTCCGCGACGTCCTCGAGGAAGAACTCGGGGCACTTGCGCAGGTCGTCGTCGCTCAACGACAACAGCCAGCGGCACGCGAGGCCGCAGAAGCTCAGCGCGTCGTCGACCGTCGTCTCCTCCAGCAAGGACGCCTCCGCGATGACGTGCGCCGCCTGCTGCTCGAGGATCTGCGGGTGGTCGTGGCCGTGGCGGTGCGCCATGTGGCCCAGGCGGTCCGCCATGTCCTCGTGGCGCCGCAGCTCCGCGCAGAGCCCGAGGTGCATCGCGCGGAACCTGTGTGGAAATCAACCAGTGGAATGCCCTGTCCAACAAAAACTTCAAACCTCGCTATCTCGATCAAATCGAAGTCGATTCGGCTGATTTTTGGACGAGTCGATTGCTCTTGTCGAGTTCTCGAAGCACAGCCGAAGAGCTTGTGTCAAAACATTCGAATACGCGCGCATTGAAGTCGGATTGAAGATTTGATTTCCACACGGCTCGGAACGCGAGGAAGAAGACGACGGTCACGAAGTGGAAGTCCGCGTCCGCCGCGGGCTCCTTGGACATCGCCAGCGCCGCCTTCAACGCCGCGTCGTCGTCGTCGTCGTCGTCGTACATGTCGTCGTCGGACTCGGCCGTCGTGTCCATGGCGTCGGCGCTCGGCTGCTCGCCGGACGCGTAGACGCGCGTGAGGTCGTCGGGATACGCCGCGCGGCCCAGCGCGCTCCGGCCGAGGAAGTCCAGGTTCCGCGCCACGTTCGCCTCGCGGTCCGCCTTGCCGATGACCGGGCGGCAGAGGCGCAGCAGGCACCCGCAGGCGTTGAGCCGCGTCGCCGCCGACGGCACCTTCCGCGGGTCGAGTTGCATCGCGTTCGCGTCCTTCGAGCGGCTCAGCAGCGCCGCGAACCACGACGTGCACGCGTCGCGGGACGTGGGCCCGTTCTTGACGAGCGCGTCCACCAAGTTGCCCGCGGCGTCGCGGGCGACGCGCGCCCGGCCGCCGAGCTGGGCGAGCGAGCCCTCGACGGCGCCGCCGCGCCGGTTCCGTAATAAGCCCGCGAGCTCCGACCGCGCGGTCGCGTCCGCCGGGTCCGCGCCGCCGAGGCGCATGACCATGCCCAGCGCCGTGCCCTGCTCGAAGGCCGCGCCGCCGTTCGCCGCCGCCGCCGCGGCCATGGCCTGGAGCAGACCGCCGAGCGCGCCGCCGCCGCCGCCGAGGCCCCCGAAGGGGTTCGACGCCGCGTCGATGGCGCCCGGCGCCTCCAGGGGCGGCGACGCGAACATGGAGTGCTGGGCCACGGCGTCGCCGGCGACCTTCTTGCCCCCGGACTGGAGGAAGGCCGCCAGCGCGCCGCAGGCCCGCGCGGACTCGCCCTCCGTCGCGCCCTGGGCGCGGAGGAGCGCTACCGCGCCGTCGACGACGGGCGCGGCGACGGCCGCGAGCTTCGCCGGCGCCACGCCCCGCAACGCGACGGCGAGGAACTCGGGCCGCAGCGGTACGCCCTTGGTGCCGCAGAGGCTCGCCGCGAGCGCGCCGCGCGACTCCGCGCTCCGGGGGCCGAGGCTCCCGGGCTCCGCGAGGCACCGCGCCGCGAGGGACGCGCAGGCCTCGCCGGCCTTCGCCGCGGCGTCGGCGCCCTCGGCGTCGCCCCGCGACCGCGCGTTGCGGCCCTCGTCGCGGAGCCGCATGAAGCAGTCGGACAGGACGCCGAGCGCGTCCTCGGACGCCGTCGCGCGCTCGACGCGGAGCGCGAGCGCGCGCTCGCAGTTCGCCGCGCTCAGCTCGGTCGCGCCGCCGAGGTCCGCGGGCCGCGCCTCGAAGATGGACCCGCCGCCCTTGGGGGCGTCGGTCACGGCCATCTTGAGGCAGCGGCGCAGCAGCTTGTCGACGGACCCGAGCCGCTTTCCCGGCGACTCCGCGGGCGCGCCGGCCCGCGGCGACGCTCCGGCCGGGGCCTTACTCGCCGACGGCGGGCGCGGCGACGACGACGCCGCACCGCCGGCGGCGACGGCCTCCTTCCCGAGCCCCGGCGACGGCGGCGGCCGCGGCGACGACACCGGCGGCGGCGCCGGGTCGGCGCTCGGCGGGGTCGCCGCGAGGCGCGCGAGGCGCCGGCGCCGCACCTCCTCGGGGTCCTCCACGTTTTTCGACATGTTTTGGCTCGGTGCGCGCTGCGCGAGGGCCACTGACTCGCGTCGAGTCGAAAGGCGCGCGAAGCGTCGAGTGGCTGATCCGCTGTGCCGTGGCGCCGCTCGAGCGGCGAGCGCGCCGTCCGGACGCCTCGGAGGACGCACCGACGCGTCGGGCCGCGCGGAGGTCGCCGGCTTCCACGAACCCCGTGGTTTTCTTGAAAACGGGCCGGGGCCCGCGCTTACCGGAGGACCCGCGCGCGCCGCGGCCCGCCGGGCCGCGGCCTAGAAGGTGACGGTCTGGGCGTTCTCGTTGCCCTCGTAGGGGGAGACGTAGGGGAGCTGGGGCTGGGACTGCGCGTGCTGCTGGACGTGTCGCATCTCGCCCTCCGGCGGCGGGCCGAGCGACTGGGACGTGTCCGAGAGGAGCTTCGCCGACTGGCTGCGGTCGCCGTTGCCGAGCGCGCGCTTCTTCTTGCCCGGCGCGGACGCGGACGCGGGCGCGTTGAGCTGCTTGACGTTCTCGCGCAGCAGCTTGGAGGCGCGCGCGCCGTTGGACCGCGCGGCCTCCATGACGGCCATCAGGCGGTCCTTCTGGACCTTGATGGCTAGCGCGTTCTGCTTCCGCGTCGCGACCAGCTTCTCCTTGCGCTCCATCATCTCCGTCGTGCGGCGGTCCGCCTCGTGGATCTTGCGCAGGTACTCGAGGCGGCGGTACTCGGCGATGCGGCGGATGCGCTCCACGTTCTCGAGCTTCATCTGGTTCCGCAGGATCTTCTTTTCCCGGACGATGCCGTGCTCGCGGCCGCGCGCCTCGCGCACGCGGCGCACGTTCTCCTCCTCGAGCTCGAAGCGGCCCAGCAGGTCCTCCTTGCGCTGCTCCTCGTCGCGCCTCGCCTGGTTCAGCACCATCAAACGCCGCTGCTCCTGGAGCTCGCCCTGGTGCTGCTGGAGCGTGCGCTCGCGCGCCTGCATCTCCAGGTGCTGCTGCCGTAACTGCTCGTGGTGGGCCTGCTTGGAGAAGAAGTGCTCTTTGCGCTGCTCCTCGACCTTGGCCGCCTGCTGCATGTTGCGCTCGATGCGCGCCTCCATCTGCGCGCGGCGCAGCGACAGCCGCTCGCGCTCCTCCTCGCGCTTCCGCGCCACCAACGCCTGGCGCTCCCGTTCCGCGAGCTCCATGTCGTCCATGCGCCGCTTGATGGCCGCCTGCTGCTCCGCGAGGATGCGCTGCGTCTGGAGCCGGTGCTCCTCGTGCTTCCGGAGCCGCTCCTCCTCGCGCGCGCGCGCGTCCTGCTTCGCCTTCTTCTCCTTGAGCTCGCGCTCGGCGCGCAGGGCGCGCTCGCGCTCGAACATGGACCGCGACGCCGCGAGGCGCCGCGCCTCCTCGTTCTCCTCGGCGGCCTGTTTTTTGGCCTCGCGGAGCCGCTGCTCCTCCGCGACCTGGCGCGCGCGCTTCTCCTTCGTGCGCTTCACGGCCTCCTCCTTGCGCTTGTCCAAGGCCATGCGCCGGTCGCGCTCGGCTTGGATCTCCTGCATCTTCATCTCGAACTGCATCATCTGCTCGAGCTCCTTGTCCTGGCGCTTCCGCATCTTCTGCATGCGCTTCTCCTCCTCGTCCAAAAAGGTCGCGTTCTGCTTCGCCTGGGCGGCGATGATCTGCTGGGGCGTGATTTTGGCCGACCCGCCGCCGCCGCCCGCCGCGAGCTCGGCCTCGCGCTCCTCCTGGTTCACGAGGCGCTTCCGCTCCGCGCGCACGAGGCGCATCATCTCGAAGCGCCGCTGCGTGTAGGTCTCGTGGCGCAATCGCTGCACCGTGGGGTCGATGCCCGCCACGGAGAAGGAGTCGAGGGGCCGGATGCGGAGCACCTCGGGGTTGAGGCCGTGCCGGAGGCACGCCTCGGCGCTCCGCGGCGTGAGCACGATGCGGCTCGGCGCGGGGTTCAGGTCCCCGTTCTTCGTCGAGCTCACGCTCTCCCAGATCTCCTCGATGGTCTGGGCCTTCGCCGCAAGCTTCGCCCGCTTCTTGCTGTCCTTGCCCGACATGACGGCGCGAGGCTGCCCGCGCGCCGCGTCGTCTCGAGGCCTCGAGGCAGCGTGCGCCTTTGGCGCGTGGGTCGCACCGCAATAGCGTGCGCCGCCGCCGCGGAGACCCGCGCCGCCGACCGCCGAGCGAGCACCGCGCGCGACACACCGACGGCGCCAACCAACGCCTGTAGTCGCGCTACCGAGCTAGGTACCGGCCAAGCCTCAATGATATACAGGTCGGCGTTGCAGACAAGGGATGGCCCCTAGGCCTCTATCTCACGTGCTTCCAGGAGTTCCGCGACGGCCGCGACGTAGGTCGGGGGCGCCGCCGCGCGCGCTGCAGACGCGTGGCGTAGACCTCGAATTCTAACCTCGAATGTTACGTCGGGGGCGCGAAGCTCGCCGCGCGCCTACTTCTTCTTGCCCGGCGACTTCTTCGCCTGGGGCTTCTTCTTCTTGCCGCCGATCTGGACCTTGGGCCCGCCCTTGCCCTTGCCCGGCGACTTCTTGGCCGGCTGCGCCTTGCCGCCCTTCTTCTTGACGACGGTCATCGTCTTCGGCTTCTGCCGCTTCGTCGCCGTCGCCTTCTTCGCGGGCGCCTTGTTGGCCGCGCCGGTCTTCTTCGGCGCGAAGGAGATGGTCATCTTCGTGTCCTTGGGCAGCACGAAGTCCTTGATGGACACGGGCCGCGACGTCTTCGTGGGCTCGATGGAGAACGACTTCGGGATCTGCGGGCCGCCCTTGGACGCGGCCGCGCCGCGGGCCGGCGCCTTGCCCGTCTTCGCGCCGCGGCCCTTGAGCGTGACGGCCATCTTCTTCTGCTTCGCCGCCACCTTCTTCTGGGCCTGCTTCTGCACCTGCGCGTTCGACGGCTTCGGGCCGCCGAGGCCGCGGCGGCTGTCCATCTGCTGCTGCCGCTTCGACTTGTTCGCCTGCTGGTTGACCGCGGCCTTCGTGGGCTTCGCCGTCTTCTTCTTCGCGCCCCCCGCCGCCTTCGCGCCGCCCTTGGCGTTCTTCTTCCCCCCGGCGGCGGGCTTCTTCGCGTTCTTTTTCGCCTCGGCCTGGCGCATGCTCACGAGCTCGTCGAGCGACATGTCGACCTTCTCCTCGATGTTCGTCATCGTTTCGGCGCGTGCGGGCGTAGCGTCGAGCGGCTGCGACGGTTGCGCGGGCTGCCACAGCGACGCGCGGCTGAGAGGCTGTTGCGGGCTCTCCGATGCTCGAGCGGAGGATTTTTGAGCGCGCGGGGGGTCCGACCAGGGGTCCGACCAGAGGGGGCCGACCACCAGGCATACACCAGCCACGGCATACACCAGCATAGCAGCCGCATAGCAGCCGCATAGCAGACGCATAGCGGGCGCATAGCGGGCGCATAGCGGGCGCATAGCAGGCGCATAGCAGGCGCATAGCAGGCGCATAGCAGGCGCATACCACCAGCATAGCAGGCGCATAAGACCAGCATAGCAGCCGCATACCACCAGCATAGCAGGCGCATAAGACCAGCATAGCAGCCCACCAGCATACCACCAGCATAGCAGGCGCATACCACCAGCATAGCAGCCGCATACCACCGGCATAGCAGACGCATACCACCGGCATAGCAGACGCATACCACCCGCATACCACCCGCATACCACCAGCATACCACCCGCATACCACCCGCATACCACCCGCATACCACCCGCATAACACCCGCATAAAGCCCGCATAAAGCCCGCATAGCGGGCGCATACTACCAGGCATACCGGCGGTCAACCCCCTCGGGGTCCGACGGCCGGCGGCGCGCGCGGCGGCCGGCGGCGCGGCCCCGCGCGGCCGCACGGCCACGAGAACGACTCTCGACAACGCGCCCGGCGCGACACCCAGCCCCCCCAGAACGACGAGGAAGACCAGCGTGCGGAGTGGCGAGTGACGCGGGGTTCGTCCGCGTCGCGCGGCGCGCGGCGGGTGGCCGCGCCGCGGGCCGGGCGGCGAAGGGGGGACTGAGCGGGGATGGGGCGGGGGTGGGGTGGCGGGCCGCGCCGCCGGGGGGGGGCGCCCGGTCTACTTGGAGCCCTCCTTGAGCGTGAGCGCGATGTTCGACTGGAGGTCGGCGATGCGCTTCGCGTGGGCCTTGTCGTTCTTGTCGAGGGGCACGCGCGAGATGGTGACCCAGGCCGGCGTGAAGATGCCGAGCTCGCCGGCCGTCGCCGCGGAGAAGCCGCAGTGCTCGAGCATGAGCGCCGTGCGGAGCGTGCCCGGCTCCGCGACGCCGATGATCTCGAGGAGTTTGGTGGTGGCCATCGTGAGCTTGCGGCCCCAGTGGCTCGACGTGAGGCGGCTCGGGAGGTCGATGCCCGTCGTGAGCGCCACCCACCAGCCGAGGTGGCCCCGCTCGATCGCGTCCGTGCCCATGTCGTAGGAATCGAGGACCTCGAGGCCCGCGCGCTCGTACTCCTTGATGCGCGCGTCGGGCTTGTTGAGGTTGCGCAGCCCGCCGCCGTACTCCATGCCGCGCTTCAGGTCCATGTGGCGCTCGTTGTCGTAGTCGAACTCGGGCCGGAGCATCCACTGCCAGCCGGCGACGATGCCGCCGGGCTTGACGATCTTCGCGGCCTGCGCGAGCGGCGACGCGCGGTCCTCGGAGTGGCTCAGGGACTCCATGAAGTAGGCCGCGTCGTAGGTCGACGGCAGCATCTGCGCCGGCAGGTCGTTGTAGTCGCCGCGGAGGTATTCCGTGCGGTCCTGGATGTACTGCGGCAGCTTCGCCGTGATCGCGTGCGCGCGCTTGATCTGGTGCTCGCAGATGGTCACGCCCGTCATGTTCGCGCCCGTGAACTCGACGACGCGGCGCATGGGGCCGCCGATGCCCATGCCCAGGTCCGCGACGCGCATGTCGCGCTTCAGGCCCATCGTGAGCACGAAGTTCTGCTCCCAGTAGGCCATGGACCGCTTGAAGGACCAGTCCGGCCGCAGGGGCGCCATGTGGAAGGCGTCGCCCCAGCCGTACTCGAAGAAGTCCGTGATGAGCGTGAAGTAGCGCTCCGTCGCCGCCGCGTTGTTGTTGTCGTCGTGCGCCGGCTGCGCGCCGCCCCAGTCCGTGGCGCCGGCGTAGTAGCGGTCGTAGCGGGCCAGGATGTCCTCGCTCGACATGTCCTTGGCCTCCTTGCCTGCGACGTGGGTGTTGTGATCGCGCGCGCGCGGCAGCGGAAACGAAATTCGACGGGGAATCGCCGCGGCGATGCGGCGGTCGGGCGACGCACCAGGGAAGGCGACATTCTGCAAGTAGTAGCCGGCAGCGATGGCCGTGCCCAATCCGAAGACTTTTCCGAACATGTTGGCTCGCGTCTGTGGGATGCCAAGAGACGACAGCGACGCGCCAAAACACGCGTTTTTTCAGTGGACGCCACGGAATGCTGATGTTTTCCACTGCACGAGTTGTTGCCGTCTTGCAAACTTCGAGCGGCCCGATTTCCTGAGGCGCCGGGCAGCCCAGCCAGCGAGCGGCAACCAATTGTTGCAGCGAGTGGCGAGATCCGAAACAACCACGCGCCGGGCAGCCCAGCCAGCGAGCGAGATCCGAAACAACCACGACCGCAGTCTCCAGCACTCGACACCCGAAAATACCAGCTCGCTCATCTAGCAAAGCACGACCATGATGGAGCCCAACTCGCCGACGCCGCTGACGGCCAAAATCGTCGAATCCGGCGCCACCCAGGAGCATTATTGTGCGTCCTGCTGCTGCAGCATCACGACGCTCTACGCGCCGACGTCGCTGGCGCTCTGCCTCGGGCAGCTGGCCCAGGGCCTGTCGCTCTGCGTCGCGCACCGCAGCGCGTGCTGCGTGCTCCGGGACCACCCCAAGTACGACGAGTTGTTCATCACCGGCGAGGACAAGGACGACGTCTGCTGCGTCGCCGCCGCCGGCGAGTACGCGCTCGTGAAGCCGCTCTTCTTGCTGGGGCAGAAGCCCATCGCGAAGGAGTCGGCGAGCGGCTGCTGCTGCGCGCGGCGCTGCGCGGTTCCCTGCTGCGGCGACAACGCGGACCCCGACGTGCCCTCGAGCTTCGGCTGCTACGGCGCCAAGTGCTGCCTCTGCTTCCCGTTCACCTTCGCGCCCGCGTGCTGCGAGCGCGTCGTGCCGCTCGCGCCCCTCAAGGAGGACGCCGCCTTCGACCCGCTGCCCGCGGCCGTGTCGGACCTGCACCTCATCTGCCACGTGTGCTGCTGCCAGCAGGCCGCCTACGTGCCGGCGACGATCCAGGACGCCTTCGGCGTCGAGGACAAATCGATGTGCTGCTGCCTCACGTCGGACGTGCGGGGCTGCCAGCTCCCGCGGACCGCGGGCGACTACAAGCTGTTCCTGTTCAACGCGGGCCAGTGCCGCTGCGTGCAGCCCCGGTTCGCCTGCAAGGGCAACACGCGGACCTGCTTCGTTTTCTACAAATACGCGCTCCCGCCGAGCGACGAGGTGCCCTGCGCGTGCGTCGTATGCGGAAAGAAGCTCGCGGGCCCGGAGAAGATCAAGGACGACGTGCCCTTCACCTTCGCGAAGATCGCCGCGCCGTCCGCCGAGGCCATGGCCCGCGGCACCAAGGTCGTCTGAAGAGGCTCGGACGAACTCAATTCACACCACAGATTAACAACAACACACACCCCGGGGCCTAGAGGACCATCCGGGGCTCGAGCATGATCGTGTCCTCCTTCGCGAGGTTGAGCTCCTCGATGAGCATCTCCGTCGCGTAGAACGACGCGCCGAAAACCTTGAGCCGGTAGAGCCAGTCCTCCTCGACGCTCCGGTCGAGCATCTCGAGCGCGAGGTGGATGAGCGCCTTGAGCGTGTAGCGCGACTCCACCGTGAGCTCGAGGATCCGCGACGAGCAGACGAGGTCGCGCACGAAGAGCTTGAAGGGCACGCCCTGCGCCGGCGACCGCCGGTGCGCGAACGACACGTTCGCGTCCCTCCGGATGCCGAGCTCGTAGAGCGTCGCGTCGTCGCGGAGCAGCGTTCGGTCCCGGCGGTCGACGTCGCGCAGGCGCCGGTCCGACACGTCCTCGCGCAGCGACCGCCCGAGGCGCTCTTTCACGTCGCGGACGAGCTCCGCCGGGCTCGCGGTGACCTCGACGACGTCGCCGTCGTGTCGATATCGCACGACGATCGTGTCCGAGCCCAGCAAAGAAACGACCTTCCGCGCGTCCTCGGGCTGCATGCCGCAGTCGGTCCAGTCCGCGGGCTCCATCAGGCGCGCGGCGCCGATGTCGATCTCCTGCTCGCGGATCGCCGGGATGGAGTCGCGCAACCCGACCTCCGCGAGGACGCTCGAGAGCTCGCGGCAGCCGACGTCCGTGCCGACGGTCACGACCTCGTCGCCGGCCCCACAAACGCGCGCGCCGTCCGGCGCCTGGCTCATAGCCACGACGTCCAGCAGCAGGTCCTCCATGTCCGGCCGCGCCGCCGCCTCCGCGTCCCAGCAGCGCACCAACGCGTCCCGCAGCGCCGGCGGCGTCGCCAGGGGCAACCGCGGCCGCTCGCCGGACCGCACGCGCAGCGCGACCGCGACCTCGTTGCGCGCGTCGTCGAAGGGCTCGCGCCCGGAGAGCAGCTCCGCCACCAGCACCGCGTAGGCGAAGACGTCCGCGGATTCGCCGCCTCGATCCAGCGCGCCGGCATCCCCGAGCTCCGGCGCCATGTAGCCCGCCGTGCCGCCGTGCGCCGCCGACGCGCGCGTGAACCCCCGCGTGCCGACGACGCGCGCGAGGCCGAAGTCGGAGATCTTCGCGACGCCGTAGCTTCCCAAAAGCACGTTCGCGGACTTGATGTCGCCGTGGACGACCTTGCGCCGGTGCAGGAACGCGACGGCCGCGGCGACGTCCGTGGAGACGGACCAGAACGCGACGCCGAGGCCCGGGAGCGCGTCCCGCGCCCCGAAGCACGCGAGGAGCTCGTCGGGCGTGCCCTTGTGGAGCAGGCGGTGCAGCGACCCGTGGGGCGCGAACTCGAGCACGGCCCAGAGCAGGCCCTCGTCGTCGTCGGCGACGGCGCCGAGCAGCGCGACGACGTTCGGGTGGCGCAGCGCCCGGAGCGCCTTGAGCTCGCGCCGCATGGCGACGGCGGCGTCGTCGTCGTCGACGGAGACCATCTTCACGGCGACGGTCCGCCCGCGCCAGGCGGCGCGCTTGACGACGCCGTGCGCGCCGCGGCCCAGCGGCCGTCCCTTGGCGACGACGACGTCCTCGCGGACGACGGCCGGCGGCGCCTTCACGGACGCGCGCCAGCGGCGCAGCTCCGCGGCGATGCCGCGGTCGACGCCGGCGGGCGGCCCGAGCGCCGCGCCGCAGGCCGGGCAGTCGTCCCGCGTCCGCCGCCAGCGCGCAAGCGCGTCCTGGTCGAAGACCTGGCCACAAGGACCCAAGACGGGCTTCGACGGCACCTCGCGCGTGATGCCGCACGTCGCCGGTGGCTCCGCCGTCGACAGATTGTCGAGCATGGACGTGAGCGACGCCATCAGCGCTGTGTGCGCTTTGATGTGCGCGCTGCGTTGCCGACGGCGGCCGGTGCGGGCGTCGAGGGCTCAGGTACGACCCGCGAGTCCAGGGCACATCGCTCCGAAATCCAGCTTGAAAACAGCAATTGAACGGCAACGACGCACACAAGTGAATTCGCCGCGGGCTCGAAAAAGGGCATGTCGCAGTGCATTAACCCGAGGCCTTTACTCGGCGTCGTCCCGGAACGTCGCGTAGAGCACGTCGGTGTCCGAGCCCGGGAGCTTGCCCTTCTTGATCGTCGCCGGGTCGCGGTCGCGGAGGAGGTCGAGCATGCGGCCGCACGAGTCGGGCTGCTCGTCGCCGACGCGGTGCGCGCAGCAGGGCAGCAGCATGAAGGGCGTCCGCGTGCGCAGCGCGAACGCGACGATGGGCTCCGTCGCCTCGCAGGGGCGATACCCCAGCACGCACGCGCAGCCGTCGTTGGCGTCGTCGTCGAAGACGAACTTCTCGCGGCGCGTGCGGAACGATCGACCCAGGCGCCGCTCCGCGTAGCGCGCGGCCTCCGTCGGCTCCGCTTGCGGATCGATGAGGTCCGCGTCGGCGCCCGCCAACGTCGACGCGAGGCACGCGACGACGCCGGTGCCGCCGGCGACGTCGAGGACCTTGCCGGACCGGAGCGTCGCCGCTCCCAGAACGTCGCGCGCGTGGATGACGAACTGGGCCTGCTGGCTCGCGTCCCGCGCCCAGCGCGGCGCGCCCTTCAGCGCGGCGTAGAGGCCGTGCTTCGTGTCCTCGACCCAGCCCACGGGGCCCGGCGGCGGCGACGCCGCGGGGCCGTCGCCGGACGTCCCGCTCACGTAGTACCAGTGCCGCGCCGGGGCCGCGCCGTCGTCCGACGACCCGGAGTCGGAGTCGGACGACTCGTCGTCGGCGCCGCCGCGGCCCGGGGAGGCCTGGGCCCAGAGCCGCAGGGCCTCGCCCGGCGCGAAGGAGCCGACGACCGCCGCGGCGTCGATCGGCGCGTCCCGGACCCGCAGCTGCTCGACGGCGCCCCTGCGCGAGCACGACTCGCCGAGGTCGCCGGAGAACACGATCTCCACACCGCCCAGCATCTTGCAGGCGTCCGCGCGCCGGCCCGCGCGCAGCAGGAACGGCGACGCCCAGCCCTCGACGGCGCGGCCCGTGTCGTCGACGCCCGCGAGCTTCGCGCGCGCCGTCGCCTTGGCGTCGTTGGCGTAGGCGACGACGCGCGCCCGGCCCGCGAGCGTGCCGACGACGGGCGACGCCGGGTCCGCGGTCGCGCGGACGCCGAGGCCCTTTGTCGCGACGATGGCGCAGTCGCCGCCGCCGTCGAGCCGCGCGATGGTGCCGTCGTCCCGCATCGCGAGGCGCACGGCGATGGGGCGCCGCGGCCGCCTCGGCTTTGGTGGCGCGGCGCGGGGCGGCGGCGGCGGTGGTGGTGGTGGTGGTGGAGGATGGGAGGCCTGCGGTGGAGCTGCCTCCGCGGCTGCTTTCTTGGGCTTGCGCGGCGCCGTCCGCTGCTTCGCCGCCTTCGGCTTGTGGAACGGCTCCACGGCCACGTTCGCGCCGCCTCTGCTCTGCAAAGCGCCTGCATCGCGCGCTGCGAGGAAGTCTGCGAAGCTGCCCATCGGTGGGTTTCAGGCGGCCATGCTCTCGGAGGCTGGACTTGAGCTGCACTTGAAGGAGACGGTCAGCTTGTGGCGCGCTTACTCCGAGACTCGACGACCTCCGCAGCCGCGACTGCAGCCGCGCTCCTCGTCGTCCGCCGCTGCCTCGAGATGGCCGTCGAGGACGTGAACGCAATTAGATGGCCGAGCGGCACGTTTGCACTCCATGATGCCGCTGCACATGGGAACTTACGCGAGGTTATTTCGCTCCTCGCTGCCGGAGCGGACGTCGACTTGCCAGATACTGATAGCGGTAGATGTACAGCGCTGATTTACGCTGCGTGTGGTGGCCATCTACGCATCGTCAAGGCTCTACTCGACGCTGGCGCGGACGTAGACAAGCGAGACAGTGCAGGAGGTCCCGGCGCGGGCTACGACCGGCAAGACTGTGTTGGACATGCAGCGCTCGATTACGCTGTCGTTCGTGGCCACTTCAGAGTCGTCGAAGCTCTAATCGACGCCGGGGCGGACGTAAACAATCTGGACCGTAACCAACGCACGGCTCTTTTGCATGCGGTTGTGTACGCGCGTTCTGTGACTCTGAAAGTGGCGTTAGTCAAGATGTTCATCGCCGCGGGAGCCCGACTAGATGTGGGGCGATCCATTTATGGTGCGGCCCTTGCGAATGGGTTTCGCCCCGTTCTCCGTCTGCTGCTCCAACACGGCGCGCCTTTGGTCACAGTGACTGGATTGGACATCAATATCCTACGCGAACGCTACGCGTCTGCCTGGAGCTACCACGACGCCGTCGTCGCCGCCGGCGGCTACGAGCCCTACGTGAAGAAGCACCGCATCCTCCTCTCGTCCGTCGTCGACAAGGTCGTCGAGGCCAAGTTCGGCCGCCGCGCGCCGCGGGAGGTCTGCGCGCACGTCGTGACCTTCTGGACGCCGCCGGGCGGCTTCTAATCGCAGGGCATACGTTACGCCAGGGTTCGGGGAGGGATTCAGGCGAGGCCCGCGGCGGCCTTGTCCTTCTTGGCGCGGACCCGCTTGGAGGGCTCGCGGAGCTGCGGCGCGGGGCGCTTGTTCGCGTCGCGCTCCGCGAAGGCCGCGCGGCGCGGCGACTGGGCGTCGATGATGCAGGTCTCCCAGCGCTCGTGGAACGCGTCGACGTCGGACTTGAGGCCGCCGAGCTCCCAGCGGTTCCGGAGCGCGCCGACGTCGTCGCTCCCGCGCGCGCACGCGCGGCAGGCCGCCGCGAGCGCGTCCGCGGTCTCCTTGGCGTCGCGGGCCATGGTCTGCCAGCGGTCCGCGCGCGCCTCGGCGTCCGCGAGGCGCGCCACGAGGTCGGCGGGCGGCGGCGCGGCGGCGGCCACGGCGGGCGGCGGCGCGGCGGCCGCGAGCGGCGCGGAGGCCAGAGGCGGCGCGGCGGCCGCGAGCGGCGGCGCGGCGGCCGCGAGGGGCGGCGCGGCGGCCGCCAGGGGCGCGCGCGGGGCGGCCGGGGGCGCCCGAGCGCCGCCGCC